CACTTCCCGTACAAATACAATTGATATTTATAATTCTAATCATAAAAAAAACTGTAGCAGAAATCCTCATGTAAAAATTCACTGTCCGTACATGAGCCATGATAGCAATTTCAACACAGGCTAAGATAAAGGCCAAGAAAATACAATTATGTGTTAATTGTCTTTACATAGCTGTAGGTAAGATTTTATAGCCTCCTAACTCTATATTTGAATTTGATTTCAAACTGATATTATTTCAACGAAGCCTTACCAAAGGATGAACGAAATTCTACCGGGCCGTTTACTGACCGCTTCTTGCTTCCAGCTCATTTGACAAAAGACATAAATATAACTATCTCACTATATATAGATGTCAGTGCGGGCGTTACAGACAAGTGGTCAATGTGAAGTTATTATCACTTATCCTTGTTTTGTATGTTTGTATATGTGACCGGTGTTAGAACAGGATTTCAGAAGTCCCGAGCTGTTAAAGGTTAGTAAAAATAACACGGTATTGTCGTTATTTCGACACATGTTATCGATATATATATAAACATATTTATAAAAAAAATATTCAAATTTTTATTATGAATTTTATAAAAACTATTCAAATCATTTTTATGAGTTTTATAAAAACTACTCAAATTAATGTTATGAATTTTAGTAGAATAGCACATGAATTTCCGAACAATTGAAACTACATTACAGCTGCACATTACTACAGTATCCCATTAATACGTCTCTTTACTAAAGCAGGTTACTAAAATCCATTGTTCTTCCTCTTTAGACTTACGTATTCTCCAATAGGTCTCTAAGACCCCCCCTCCCCCCTAGATACAAGGTTAATTATCTACCTCTTTTCATTTCCTTATTTTGTTTGACTTTGAAAGATCTTTATAACCTTGTTTTTATCTGCCCTCTGAAGTACAATATTAATGAAATGTATTTACATAAGATATTTGTTTTTATTATATAAATGCAATTTTCCATTAAATACGTGATAGATATATACAATGACGAAGATACTTACTATTATTCAGTCAAAAGACAGTTTTCAAATAGCGAATACTGTTATTAACAAAAGACAGTTTTCAAATAGCTAATACTGTTATTAACAAAAGACAGTTTTCAAATAGCGAATACTTTTATTAACAAAAGACAAATGTTAAGAAAGTTAGCAGGAAAAAAATAGAAAAATAACATAACGTAGAGTTAGGGTTAAGGATAGGGTTGAGTTAGGGTTAAGGCAATTTAATGTCTATTGACAGAAACGAGTGGAAACTCCATCTGACATTCGGTTGGAAATTTAAGCATAATTAATAGGTTGGAAATATGGAGAGTCTGTTTTACATTATAATAAGTGGAAAATCAAATAGAATCCAATAAAATGGTTTATATTAGAAATCATTCAATCAGAAACTATCAAATGTCAATGTATATTAAAAATATATCAATGAGAAACTATCAAATGTCAATGTATATTAAAAATATCAATCAGAAACTATCAAATGTCAATGTATATTAAAAAATATCAAACAGAAATTATCAAATGTCAATGTATATTAAAAATATATCAATGAGAAACTATCAAATGTCAATGTATATTAAAAATATCAAACAGAAACTATTAAATGTCAATGTATATTAAAAATATATCAATGAGAAACTATCAAATGTCAATGTATATTAAAAATATCAATCAGAAATTATCAAATGTCAATGTATATTAAAAATATCAATCAGAAACTATCAAATGTCAATGTATATTAAAAATATATCAATGAGAAACTATCAAATGTCAATGTATATTAAAAATATATCAATGAGAAACTATCAAATGTCAATGTATATTAAAAATATCAATCAGAAACTATCAAATGTCAATGTATATTAAAAATATGTATATTAGAAACTATCAGAAACTATCAAATGTCAATGTATATTAAAAATATCAATGAGAAACTATCAAATGTCAATGTATATTAAAAATATATCAATCAGAAACTATCAAATGTCAATGTATATTAAAAATATCAATCAGAAACTATCAAATGTCAATGTATATTAAAAATATATCAATCAGAAACTATCAAATGTTAATGTATATTAAAAAATATCAAACAGAAACTATCAAATGTCAATGTATATTAAAAATATCAATGAGAAACTATCAAATGTCAATGTATATTAAAAATATCAATCAGAAACTATTAAATGTCAATGTATATTAAAAATATATCAATGAGAAACTATCAAATGTCAATGTATATTAAAAATATCAATCAGAAATTATCAAATGTCAATGTATATTAAAAATATCAATCAGAAACTATCAAATGTCAATGTATATTAAAAATATATCAATGAGAAACTATCAAATCTCAATGTATATTAAAATAATATAAATCAGAAACTATCAAATGTCAATGTATATTAAAATATATCAATCAGAAACTATCAAATGTCAATGTATATTAAAAATATGTCAATGTATATTAAAAATATAAGAAACTATCAAATGTCAATGTATATTAAAAATATCAATCAGAAACTATCAAATGTCAATGTATATTAAAAATATCAATCAGAAACTATCAAATGTCAATGTATATTAAAATATCAATCAGAAACTATCAAATGTCAATGTATATTAAAAATATCAATCAGAAACTATCAAATGTCAATGTATATTAAAAATATCAATCAGAAACTATCAAATGTCAATGTATATTAAAAAATCAATGTATATTAAAAATATCAACAGAAACTATCAAATGTCAATGTATATTAAAAATATCAATGAGAAACTATCAAATGTCAATGTATATTAAAAATATCAATCAGAAACTATCTCAATGTATATTAAAAATATCAATGAGAAACTATCAAATGTCAATGTATATTAAAAATATATCAATCAGAAACTATCAAATGTCAATGTATATTAAAAATATCAATGAGAAACTATCAAATGTCAATGTATATTAAAAAAATCTATCAAATGTCAATGTATATTAAAAATATATCAATGAGAAACTATCAAATGTCAATGTATATTAAAAATATATCAATCAGAAACTATCAAATGTCAATGTATATTAAAAAATATCAATGAGAAACTATCAAATGTCAATGTATATTAAAAATATCAATCAGAAACTATCAAATGTCAATGTATATTAAAAATATCAATGAGAAACTATCAAATGTCAATGTATATTAAAAATATATCAATCAGAAACTATCAAATGCCAATTTATATTAAGAAAACAAACCAAATCCATTAAATTTAACATCCTTTAAAAATCTACTTGAAATCATCATTAAAATTTAAAATGTACTAAAAGGTCAAACCATGAAACATCAAACTTCAATATTTATGAAAAAATAACCCATTAAAATCAATATATATTAAAAAATCAAACAGAAACTATTAAACGATATAAAAGGTCCGTGCAGGAACTTTTAACCAATATTAAAGAATGGAACTCGAGAAAACACTATCTCATGCAATAGATGTGAAAACCATGGAAACCATTTCAAAGCATTATTCGTAGAAAATCAAATTATATATAAATGAAAACGTCATCAAAAGGGAAAAAAATTACCATTGTTACTGACAAAACTTGTATCTTTAGTTCATATCTAGGACGGAGAACTATGGAGCCTAGGATCACTAGGGGTTAAATAAATGGAGACATACCAAATACAACTCTACCAAGCATCATTATAGATGGAAATCTATAGATATACCATTGAATTTTGTATAAAAAAGAATGGAGGCCTCAAATGACCAGGTAACCCATAGACACGCGCCTGCACGAAACATTATTATGAAAGCTTTATTATAGGAGGGAAATCCTTTAGGGTCTTACACTATTACTGAGACAACTCGAACATCTTAAGAATACGCTAATACACATTTAGTTTCAGTCCCTGTCACCTCAACATTTCATGTCTGACCTCGAATTTCTCTAGCAGAAATTCTGGAAACATTTTCAAAATTATAAGCTTTGTTAAGTTTCACATTTCACAAAATTTGTATAAAATTGTTCCAAAGACTTACGAGCTATAGGACATTACACAAATGTATATATATACTAACACATGTCCTGATAAAGTGACAAAGAATATTAAAAATAAATAAATTCATAAATATATGCAGGTCTACAAATGACCGACGATATTTCTGTTTACTAGTAGTCACATTGAAATTGGTTTCCATGTTTAGGAGAACCCTGGACAAGATCCCTGTAAACATAGGTCTTATTTGGTTACCATGACAACCAAACATTTGGAGGTTTAAAAAAAATAGAACCTTCAAAATCCTTTTATTTCATCATTGTCTTCTTATGAACGGTTCTGTAAAACCGGATGTGTCTAATTACAGGCCTTGATTAGTGACACTGCGGCATTTTACACGGTAATGATGATCCATTAAAATTAATCTTAAGGTCTGTAAAGCCATAAGCTTCTAAACCAAAATCTATGTATAGTGATCTGGTAACCATGACAAACTAAAATTTCTGCCTTAAAGATCATGCATGCTCAACTACAAACGGTCTCTTACGAGGAGTTGACCAGACAAGTTGTCCTGGCAAAATGTTCACACAAAAGCCTGTGTTAAATGAGCTTGTTACAATCAGAACCAACATTTCTGCTATGGAAAACCTGCCTGCACATATGTAATTAGCCTACATTTTTGTGTCAGGAAAAGATCATTTAGATATTAGTTTTAATTTTTGTCACAATATTACTGGCACTAAATTGTTCAAGAGTGTAGATATAAAGTCATCTAAAAAACAATAAGCAAAATTGTCCTATATATCGATTTGCCCACAATTTATATGACAAAAATGAGTCGTTCTTTCATCATCAAAATTACTGTAACAAAAAAGTATTTTCTCATAGACGAAGGGGGGTAACTCTCAGACGTGTGACCACTCGCTGCCAAATTAGGAGATCGAACAACGCATCTTTTTTGCATGTAAGTATGGATGTTGCTCATATTCTTCGTTTAACGGTGATGGTAGTCGGTGTATTCTTTGTCTACATCAGGTGAAAACTAACCATGAATGGTGTTAGAGAGTCGCGAATCCAAGTAATGTCAACAACGGTCTCTCAGCATGTCTAAAATTAGGCCACAACGAAACCGGCGCAATATCTTAATTACATTTACAGTAGCTTGAGTAGGTCTAATATTGTAGTGTCGGTAGCAGGCCTGAAATATACTATATATAGTATATCAGAAAGTGTCTAAGATAATCTCTACGATGTTCTACAGGTGTTTGATGAAGCCTGCGTGCATGGTCGAACAGACGAAAGGAGGAACTCAAACTTGAAAAAACTGGGGCTTGTGCAAGACTATTGAATGTATGTAGCCTTGCTGAAGTCCGAGTATTAGAATAATTCTGAAAGAGCAAGAAAGAACGAAGATGTCATCTTTCTCTTATAGAAATGTTTTCAGCGGTAATCAGACATCATTAAGTCAGTTTGCTTGATATTTTTATGTACACAGGTACAGGTAAAACCAACAGGTAGACCATTCACCTGTAGACGAAATCCTGGTATCATGTGTTCAGGGCCTAGTGCACTTGTCTTTCACCTGTAGTCTATTTCTTGTGTACTGCAAGTGAACTCGGTGTAAAGCTTAGTCTACACTGAACTTAACTATACTGTACAGAAATGAATAACCACAGGGATTGGATGCTCTATAGGTGAAACACAGCCATTACACTACTAAAACAGCAGAACTTGTATATAAGTATTTTTTTATACATAATTGCTGCTATTTCTAGTAGTGTGATAACATTAATATTTCCACTTCATGTGGTTAAGGAGGACCCTGGATTTAATGGCACTGAACTAGGATGACTTGTAATTAGAGGTTCCACAGGTAATGGTACAGGATGATAACTAAATTGGGATTGATGGTCCTTGTTGATGACTTGACGATTGGTTATAATGGGGCAGAAAGGTTATTGAATATTATAAATTTTTAATGTGCTGTAAATGGCACTGCATGATGGGGGGATTGAGGCGTAATTATCCTTGATGTTGAACATAAATAGGGTTTAATATAATGATCCTGGATAATGAATGAAAATGTGAAGTTAATGACCCTGGATGGTGATTGTTAATGTGGAGTTAATGACCCTGGATTGTGATTGTTAATGTGGAGTTAATGACCCTGGATTGTGATTGGTAATGTGGAGTTAATGACCCTGAATGATGGTTGTTAATGTGGAGTTAATGACCCTGGACATTGATTGTTAATGTGGAGTTAATGACCCTGGATGGTGATTGTTAATGTGGAGTTAATGACCCTAGATGGTGATTGTTAATGTGGAGTTAATGACCATGGATGATGGTTGTTAATGTGGAGTTAATGACCCTGGATGATGGTTGTTAATGTGGAGTTAATGACCCTGGATTGTGATTGTTAATGTGGAGTTAATGACCCTGGATGGTGATTGTTAATGTGGAGTTAATGACCCTGGATGATGGTTGTTAATGTGGAGTTAATGACCCTGGATTGTGATTGTTAATGTAGAGTTAATGACCCTGGATGATGGTTGTTAATGTGGAGTTAATGACCCTGGACATTGATTGTTAATGTGGAGTTAATGACCCTGGATGGTGATTGTTAATGTGGAGTTAATGACCCTGGATGATGGTTGTTAATGTGGAGTTAATGACCCTGGATGATGATTGTTAATGTGGAGTTAATGACCCTGGATGGTGATTGTTAATGTGGAGTTAATGACCCTGGATTGTGATTGTTAATGTGGAGTTAATGACCCTGGATGATGGTTGTTAATGTGGAGTTAATGACCCTGGACATTGATTGTTAATGTGAAGTTAATGACCCAGGATGGTGATTGTTAATGTTTAGTTAATGACCCTGGATGGTGATTGTTAATGTGGAGTTAATGACCCTGGATAATGGTTGTTAATATGGAGCTAATGACCCTGGATGATGGTTGTTAATGTGGAGTTAATGACCCTGGATTGTGATTGTTAATGTGGAGTTAATGACCCTGGATGGTGATTGTTAATGTGGAGTTAATGACCCTGGATGATGGTTGTTAATGTGGAGTTAATGACCCTGGATTGTGATTGTTAATGTGGAGTTAATGACCCTGGATGATGGTTGTTAATGTGGAGTTAATGACCCTGGACATTGATTGTTAATGTGGAGTTAATGACCCTGGATGGTGATTGTTAATGTGGAGTTAATGACCCTGGATGATGGTTGTTAAGGTGGAGTTAATGACCTTGGATGGTGATTGTTAATGTGGAGTTAATGACCCTGAATGATGGTTGTTAATGTGGAGTTAATGACCCTGGATGGTGATTGTTATTGTGGAGTTAATGACCCTGGATGGTGATTGTTAATGTGGAATTAATGATCCTGGATGGTGATTGGTGATGTGGAGTTAATGACCCTGGACATTGATTGTTAATGTGGAGTTAATGACCCTGGATGGTGATTGTTAATGTGGAGTTAATGACCCTGGATGATGGTTGTTAATGTGGAGTTAATGACCCTGGATTGTGATTGTTAATGTGGAGTTAATGACCCTGGATGATGGTTGTTAATGTGGAGTTAATGACCCTGGACATTGATTGTTAATGTGGAGTTAATGACCCTGGATGGTGATTGTTAATGTGGAGTTAATGACCCTGGATGATGGTTGTTAATTTGGAGTTAATGACCCTGGATTGTGATTGTTAATGTGGAGTTAATGACCCTGGATGGTGATTGTTAATGTGGAGTTAATGACCCTGGATGATGGTTGTTAATGTGGAGTTAATGACCCTGGATGATGGTTGTTAATGTGGAGTTAATGACCCTGGATTGTGATTGTTAATGTGGAGTTAATGACCCTGGATGGTGATTGTTAATGTGGAGTTAATGACCCTGGATGATGGTTGTTAATGTGGAGTTAATGACCCTGGATTGTGATTGTTAATGTGGAGTTAATGACCCTGGATGATGGTTATTAATGTGGAGTTAATGACCCTGGTCATTGATTGTTAATGTGGAGTTAATGACCCTGGATGGTGATTGTTAATGTGGAGTTAATGACCCTGGATGATGGTTGTTAATGTGGAGTTAATGACCCTGGATGATGGTTGTTAATGTGGAGTTAATGACCCTGGATTGTGATTGTTAATGTGGAGTTAATGACCCTGGATGGTGATTGTTAATGTGGAGTTAATGACCCTGGATGATGGTTGTTAATGTGGAGTTAATGACCCTGGATTGTGATTGTTAATGTGGAGTTAATGACCCTGGATGATGGTTGTTAATGTGGAGTTAATGACCCTGGACATTGATTGTTAATGTGGAGTTAATGACCCTGGATGGTGATTGTTAATGTGGAGTTAATGACCCTGGATGATGGTTGTTAATGTGGAGTTAATGACCCTGGATTGTGATTGTTAATGTAGAGTTAATGACCCTGGATGGTGATTGTTAATGTGGAGTTAATGACCCTGGATGATAGTTGTTAAGGTGGAGTTAATGACCTTGGATGGTGATTGTTAATGTGGAGTTAATGACCCTGAATGATGGTTGTTAATGTGGAGTTAATGACCCTGGATGGTGATTGTTAATGTGGAGTTAATGACCCTGGATAATGATTGTTAATGTGGAATTAATGATCCTGGATGGTGATTGGTGATGTGGAGTTAATGACTGTCGACATTGATTGTTAATGTGGAGTTAATGACCCTGGATTGTGATTGTTAATGTGGAGTTAATGACCCTTGATGATGGTTGTTAATGTGGAGTTAATGACCCTGGATTGTGATTGTTAATGTGGAGTTAATGACCCTGGATGATGGTTGTTAATGTGGAGTTAATGACCCTGGATGGTGATTGTTAATGTGGAGTTAATGACCCTGGATGATGGTTGTTAATGTGGAGTTAATGACCCTGGATGGTGATTGTTAATGTGGAGTTAATGACCCTGGATGGTGATTGGTGATGTGGAGTTAATGACCCTGGATGGTGATTGTTAATGTGGAGTTAATGACCCTGGATAATGGTTGTTAATATGGAGCTAATGACCCTGGATGATGGTTGTTAATGTGGAGTTAATGACCCTGGATTGTGATTGTTAATGTGGAGTTAATGACCCTGGATGGTGATTGTTAATGTGGAGTTAATGACCCTGGATGATGGTTGTTAATGTGGAGTTAATGACCCTGGATTGTGATTGTTAATGTGGAGTTAATGACCCTGGATGATGGTTGTTAATGTGGAGTTAATGACCCTGGACATTGATTGTTAATGTGGAGTTAATGACCCTGGATGGTGATTGTTAATGTGGAGTTAATGACCCTGGATGATGGTTGTTAAGGTGGAGTTAATGACCTTGGATGGTGATTGTTAATGTGGAGTTAATGACCCTGAATGATGGTTGTTAATGTGGAGTTAATGACCCTGGATGGTGATTGTTAATGTGGAGTTAATGACCCTGGATGGTGATTGTTAATGTGGAATTAATGATCCTGGATGGTGATTGGTGATGTGGAGTTAATGACCCTGGACATTGATTGTTAATGTGGAGTTAATGACCCTGGATGGTGATTGTTAATGTGGAGTTAATGACCCTGGATGATGGTTGTTAATGTGGAGTTAATGACCCTGGATTGTGATTGTTAATGTGGAGTTAATGACCCTGGATGATGGTTGTTAATGTGGAGTTAATGACCCTGGACATTGATTGTTAATGTGGAGTTAATGACCCTGGATGGTGATTGTTAATGTGGAGTTAATGACCCTGGATGATGGTTGTTAATTTGGAGTTAATGACCCTGGATTGTGCTTGTTAATGTGGAGTTAATGACCCTGGATGGGGATTGTTAATGTGGAGTTAATGACCCTGGATGATGGTTGTTAATGTGGAGTTAATGACCCTGGATGATGGTTGTTAATGTGGAGTTAATGACCCTGGATTGTGATTGTTAATGTGGAGTTAATGACCCTGGATGGTGATTGTTAATGTGGAGTTAATGACCCTGGATGATGGTTGTTAATGTGGAGTTAATGACCCTGGATTGTGATTGTTAATGTGGAGTTAATGACCCTGGACATTGATTGTTAATGTGGAGTTAATGACCCTGGATGGTGATTGTTAATGTGGAGTAAATGACCCTGGATGGTGATTGTTAATGTGGAGTTAATGACCCTGGATGATGGTTGTTAATGTGGAGTTAATGACCCTGGATGATGGTTGTTAATGTGGAGTTAATGACCCTGGATTGTGATTGTTAATGTGGAGTTAATGACCCTGGATGGTGATTGTTAATGTGGAGTTAATGACCCTGGATGATGGTTGTTAATGTGGAGTTAATGACCCTGGATTGTGATTGTTAATGTGGAGTTAATGACCCTGGATGATGGTTGTTAATGTGGAGTTAATGACCCTGGACATTGATTGTTAATGTGGAGTTAATGACCCTGGATGGTGATTGTTAATGTGGAGTTAATGACCCTGGATGATGGTTGTTAATGTGGAGTTAATGACCCTGGATTGTGATTGTTAATGTAGAGTTAATGACCCTGGATGGTGATTGTTAATGTGGAGTTAATGACCCTGGATGATAGTTGTTAAGGTGGAGTTAATGACCTTGGATGGTGATTGTTAATGTGGAGTTAATGACCCTGAATGATGGTTGTTAATGTGGAGTTAATGACCCTGGATGGTGATTGTTAATGTGGAGTTAATGACCCTGGATAATGATTGTTAATGTGGAATTAATGATCCTGGATGGTGATTGGTGATGTGGAGTTAATGACTGTCGACATTGATTGTTAATGTGGAGTTAATGACCCTGGATTGATTGTTAATGTGGAGTTAATGACCCTTGATGACCCTGGATTGTGATTGTTAATGTGGAGTTAATGACCCTGGATGATGGTTGTTAATGTGGAGTTAATGACCCTGGATGGTGATTGTTAATGTGGAGTTAATGACCCTGGATGATGGTTGTTAATGTGGAGTTAATGACCCTGGATGGTGATTGTTAATGTGGAGTTAATGACCCTGGATGGTGATTGGTGATGTGGAGTTAATGACCCTGGATATTGATTGTTAATGTGGAGTTAATGACCCTGGATGGTGATTGATAATGTAAAGTTAATGACCCTGGATAGTGGTTGTTAATGTGGAGTTAATGACCCTGGATTGTGATTGTTAATGTGGAGTTAATGACCCTGGATGATGGTTGTTAATGTGGAGTTAATGACCCTGGATGGTGATTGTTAATGTGGAGTAAATGACCCTGGATGGTGATTGCTAATGTGGAGTTAATGACCCTGGATGATGGTTGTTAATGTGGAGTTAATGACCCTGGATGATGGTTGTTAATGTGGAGTTAATGACCCTGGATTGTGATTGTTAATGTGGAGTTAATGACCCTGGATGGTGATTGTTAATGTGGAGTTAATGACCCTGGATGATGGTTGTTAATGTGGAGTTAATGACCCTGGATGATGGTTGTTAATGTGGAGTTAATGACCCTGGACATTGATTGTTAATGTGGAGTTAATGACCCTGGATGGTGATTGTTAATGTGGAGTTAATGACCCTGGATGATGGTTGTTAATGTGGAGTTAATGACCCTGGATTGTGATTGTTAATGTAGAGTTAATGACCCTGGATGGTGATTGTTAATGTGGAGTTAATGACCCTGGATGATGATTGTTAATGTGGAGTTAATGACCCTGAATGATGGTTGTTAATGTGGAGTTAATGACCCTGGATGGTGATTGTTAATGTGGAGTTAATGACCCTGGATAATGATTGTTAATGTGGAATTAATGATCCTGGATGGTGATTGGTGATGTGGAGTTAATGACTGTGGACATTGATTGTTAATGTGGAGTTAATGACCCTGGATGGTGATTGTTAATGTGGAGTTAATGACCCTGGATGATGGTTGTTAATGTGGAGTTAATGACCCTGGATTGTGATTGTTAATGTGGAGTTAATGACCCTGGATGATGGTTGTTAATGTGGAGTTAATGACCCTGGATGGTGATTGTTAATGTGGAGTTAATGACCCTGGATGATGGTTGTTAATGTGGAGTTAATGACCCTGGATGGTGATTGTTAATGTGGAGTTAATGACCCTGGATGGTGATTGGTGATGTGGAGTTAATGACCCTGGATATTGATTGTTAATGTGGAGTTAATGACCCTGGATTGTGATTGGTGATGTGGAGTTAATGACCCTGGATGATGGTTGTTAATGTGGAGTTAATGACCCTGGACATTGATTGTTAATGTGGAGTTAATGACCCTGGATGGTGGTTGTTAATGTGGAGTTAATAACCCTGGATGGTGATTGTTAATGTGGAGTTAATGACCCTGGATTGTGATTGTTGATGTGGAGTTAATGACCCTGGATGATGATTGTTAATGTGGAGTTAATGACCCCGGATGATGGTTGTTAATGTGGAGTTAATGATCCTGGATTGTGATTGTTAATGTTGAGTTAATGATCCTGGATGATGATGGTTAATGTGGAGTCAACGATCCTGGATGATGATTGTTAATGTGGAGTTAATGACCCTGGATTGTGATTGTTAATGTGGAGTTAATGACCCTGGATGATGATGGTTAATGTGGAGTTAATGACCCTGGATGGCGATTGTTAATGTGGAGTTAATGACCCTGGATGGTGATTGTTAATATGGAGTTAATGACCCTGGATGGCGATTGTTAATGTGGAGTTAATGACCCTGGATGGTGATTGTTAATATGGAGTTAATGACCCTGGATGGCGATTGTTAATGTGGAGTTAATGACCCTGGATGGTGATTGTTAATGTGGAGTTAATGACTTGATTAATACATTTGTGCTTGAGTTAGCGACATCCTCAGTTATGTTTATGTTCAATATCTTTCAGAATGACTTCAGATGGATTTAGACCTACAAGTAGTGATGCACAGTCTTCTGTCCCATCAGCTCCTCCTCTCCGCCAACTCCCACTGCCTTCCCAAACTGAAAGTTCTATGACCTACGGGAGCAGGGTTTTCGGACCTTCAGATATGGAACAAGCAAGTGAGTATTCCAATTTTCAGCCACTGGTACTCACAATCTTTGTGTTGTGTTTAGCCACATGAACATGTCATAGTATGATTAAAAAGCAGTTGATAATGCAGCAAAACCCAGTTACTTGTTATGATGATGTTGGTGACACATAGAAATATTACAATATTAAATGTCCTTAATCAAAGGATATACATGTAAATTTTGTTTGAATAGCCTTTGATTCATCGGGGCTTAATATCATACTTTGAAATATATGTATAACTTCTAAAGAACCAATTATCTGACACTATGCCTGTAGGTAAATAGCCCTGCCTTGTATAATTGCCCAGAAATGATTTATCAATAACATATTCTAAATTGTGTTACTGGGCCTAATCAATTTGGAAATATGTAGCTTACAGCTTGCTGGGTTTCTGAGTATTCAAACTCACAGATGCCAGTTGTGATTTATTTTTTTTCTCAAAATGAAATTAAAAAAGCACTGTTGTACCTAATACATGTATAGATTAGGCATTAGCTTAGGGTGAAACATACAAATTGTTCCTTTGAGTAACAACAAGCTGAGGTCCTATGAAAATTTTAATATGGTTCTTTGAAATAATCAGTTGAAAAATTACTACTGTTTTTTTATGTATGACAGGTAAATTTTTATGTATGACAGGTAAATTTTTATGTATGACAGGTAAATTTTTATGTATGACAGGTAAATTTTTATGTATGACAGGTAAATTTTTATGCATCAAACTAATGAGTTTATCAACAGATGATAAAAATCCTTTTTCCCCTTATATGCATATACACATAATATACTGGTTCTGTATTTCAGCAAAGATGCGTCAAAAAGAGATGCAGTTCAAGATTGTTGGTGCTATAGAGCAACAAGATGTAAGTCTACTGACTTCACTCATCAACGGAGGCGTCAACCTGGACGCTGTCATTCTGTACGCAAAGACACCTCTTACGTATGCTCTGGAATTAGGTCACAACGACATAGCTTGTCGTCTCATATGTGCCGGATGTGATGTTGAAAAATTTGTGGAATCTAGCATGGGGTTGAAACCTATACATTTTGCTGTGCGAAGGAAGTGTAACAATGCACTGAAAGAATTGATAGCACATGGAGTTGATGTTAATGGAACTGACTCAGGAAAAACAACCGCATTGCATTACGCTTGTTATCTGGGGTTTGAAAATACAGTAAACATTTTGCTTTCAAACAATGCAGACATTGCTTATAGTGACAGTTGTGGGCGAACACCTTTGCACCGTGCAATAGAACAAGAGCATCAAAACATTGCCGAGAATCTGATCAAACATGGTGCATCTGTAAATTGTCAGGATGTATATGGATGGCCACCATTGTTTCAGTCTATCATCTTCAATTCCAGGAGGATGGTAGAATTTCTAATTGAACAGAACTGTGATTTGAGTATTAGTGATTGTCATGGAAACACAGCCTTACACCTCGCCTGTGACAGATGCTCTCCAAACAGTACAAAAATTCTTGTATCAACCTCTGTTGAATACCAGAAACGAAAAAAGAAAATTCCAACAGAAGAATTAACTCATCTTTTGATTGGTCAGAACTCTAAACCGTGTCATTCAATGATCCAATTATTAGTCAATGCAGGAGCTTGTATAAACATGAGAAACAGAGCACACGAGACTCCCATGTATTTGTCAGCGTTCTGCCAAGACTTCATTCTCACTGATTACTTGTACTTGGCTGGAGGCATGGTTAACAGACAATGGTTGCAGCTATGTGATGATGTACACCTTGTAAGACGTGGCAATGATGTCTATGCCCCACAACGCCACCAGTTTGAACCTTTGTTTGAACAGCAGTTCAGTCTGTCTCATCAGTGTCGAGCTTGTATTCGAATGACGCTTGGTCAAACCAAAAACATACGAAACGCCATTACCAAGTTACCTGCACCACCAAAGTTAAAAGTCTATATTGATGCATGTGAATTGATGATGGAAATGGTCAGCAAAAAGGACATGCAAGCAAGTGTTTCATAGTGTTAATGTCAGATGGCAAATTGTCCTAGAGAATGAAACTGTTAATCATTTGCTGTAGATTTCCCCGAATTTTTATACGCCATTTTGACCATCATACCGACGGAATGTTTATCAGAAACACTGAATATAAACATACCAACTAAAATGAATATTTATATGAACCATCTGATGTTGTCAGTTTCATGCTAATCATCTGTATAGTTAGAATTAAATTTCCAAAGTTCCAGGACAGCAGCAACACATTGTTAAAATCTCTTCCTACCAGCCTGAATCAGAGTGTTTTTCCCTTGTGAAGATTGGGTTGGGAAAGACAGCTAGTGTGTTATCATATAACGCTACTCACAATATGTTTCGTCATCATTTTATGTAGCGAAACAAATGGATATGTCACAGATTTTGACACACGTTTCATTGGAAATAGACAATGGCTGGATGTAAAGGTTTCACAACAGCTTACAATTTGTTACTGTTTTTCTAAGTTTGTGAGAAAAAGATTCAAACATGCGTTGTTCAATGGACCGGGATACCCCCTGGAACCCTTGTGCAAGAGTTTGACTGGTCAGCACAAGGCAACCCTTTTGGCACTGTCTTTGCATTAAAATGTAAATCCACATGTGTAGGCAGTTAGTGTTCAAAACCCGTGCAAAAATGACATGCTTTGCTCAGACACTTAAACATTTCAGCAATCATGAACATAATTTTCACAACTACCAGATCTATGTGTTGATATTGAGTAAGTACTTTTATTACACCTAGAATTCCTTTCCTGTGTCCATGAGGATAACTACACATTATTGTACCTGAGCAGTTTGTATGAAAAATAGCAATCATAACTTAACTCTTTAAATAAATGACACAACAGACTAATTTTTAAGATTGACATTGAGACCTTTTGAAAAAAAAAATGAAACGCCTCAAAACAGGGGAAAAGCCTAATTCTTCATCACTGCTGTTCAAGTTAACATTTGGTACAATCACTTTATCATAGTTGTCATTACGTAAGAGTGGTTTAAAGATTGCCCCCCCCCTCCCCTGTATTTCACCTTCTTGACCCAAAGGAACATATACAACCTTTGCCAATGGATGTGTTCCCATAACTCACTTGTTTACTAGACTGGTCAAACTCCTGGTATTTTAACAAAAGAAGAAAGATTTTATTTCCATACCCTTCTCCTCCCTCTGGTCTTCATTTTCATATAAAATCAGTTTAATTATGTATCTTAATAACACTTGTTTAGATTCTGTCAAATCTTAGGAGTCAACAAAGACATTCTATACAGCTAACATGGAAGACAAATTAGCATATGGCAACAGAAGAAATGGTTTCTCAAAGTCCAGGTTTCCATAACATTTAACTCAGTCAATTATTTGTGAAACAGGACCAAATTGTGTTTAAATATTCAACCCCGCACTCCTGGTTTCAGAGCTGTAAAAAGTCTTGCACAATTTAGATTTGTCCGCAGATCTGCCATAAAATTATTAACAAAAGTGTCTTTCTCCGACTTCTTGCATTCAAAGATGACAACAAACGTTATTCTCACATCAACCTGGGTTATGAAGTACGTGCTTTGGGCCGTCTGAAATGTTAAATAAAAGACATCAAATATTGATACAATAAAATCCCTTGTAAGTGGCCGAGTCTTAAATGTTAAACAACAAATATCAAACTGTGATCATACTATCAGCACAGAATGTGTTTCGTGAATAGGGAATTTCTTATTACCAACTACCATTCTGTTATTTAACTCGTGAAAAAGAATTTGTTAAACATGAAATGGATTTGAAGATTTAATGAGTTGACACTTTGGTATTGTACCCTTTATTAAGGTTTCATCAGGAAGACACTGTTCACTATATGTATATGTACACACAAGTTTGAAAACAGAGAATTGACGTCTTTGCTAAAAATCAAGATGTAATTTGTGAACCACTGCCTAGCAAATGGCTACAAATTACTCATTTCAAAATCTTCCCTACAGACCTACCTTATCATATGTACAGGTGATTTTGTCCCCCATCAATATCCCTATAGACTTACCTTATCATATATACAGGTGATTTTGTCCCCCATCAATATCCCTATAGACTTACCTTATCATATATACAGGTGATTTTGTCCCCCATCAATATCCCTATAGACCTACCTTATCATATATACAGGTGATTTTGTCCCCCATCAATATCCCTATAGACTTACCTTATCATATATACAGGTGATTTTGTCCCCCATCAATATCCCTATAGACTTACCTTATCATATATACAGGTGATTTTGTCCCCCATCAATATCCCTATAGACTTACCTTATCATATATACAGGTGATTTTGTCCCACATCAATATATCTATAGACCTACCTTATCATATATACAGGTGATTTTGTCCCACATCAATATATCTATAGACCTACCTTATCATATATACAGGTGATTTTGTCCCACATCAATATATCTATAGACCTACCTTATCATATATACAGGTGATTTTGTCCCCATCAATATCCCTATAGACCTACCTTATCATATATACAGGTGATTTTGTCCCACATCAATATATCTATAGACCTACCTTATCATATATACAGGTGATTTTGTCCCACATCAATATATCTATAGACCTATCTTATCATATATACAGGTGATTTTGTCCCCCATCAATATCCCTATAGACTTACCTTATCATATATACAGGTGATTTTGTCCCACATCAATATATCTATAGACCTACCTTATCATATATACAGGTGATTTTGTCCCACATCAATATATCTATAGACCTACCTTATCATATATACAGGTGATTTTGTCGTAGATATGGTGATCACTCATTCTATTGTTGATCAGCATCACAATGTTATGCCAATGGTTCTGCACCTGTCGATCCTGTATATTGAAAGGTCAATGTGAAGATTTTATTATTAACTAAATATTGTTTGTTAAAGATCTGAATAACTTGTTTCTAAGTAAATATGTAGCGTTGTTTGACATATTAATAGAATCGGCAAATTTTGACTTTTAACCTTTTAACCTTGACTGATGAAACCTTAAACAATTTATATTATTAGATGAAAACATGATGTTATGATACTATAGAGTAAATATGAACAAATATATTGAATACTCAGAGGTTCGGAACATTGGACAAAACAGGACAGACTGACAAACGTGCAGGTAACAAGTTATATTTCCATGGATAAAAAGGCATAAAAATCATTAGTTATGAAAACAGGGGATGTAATGCACCAAACTTATTTGGAGATAAATCATTCTAACAGTATAAAAAAATTTAAATCAGTATTTTTGACAATGTACATATAATACATGAAAGGAAACAACATCACAAAGACACAGATTCACGTGACTAAATGTAATTATTCATCAGTTATACACATTTTGTTGAAGTTTTAAAAGTCTGTACTAACCGCAGGGTATGAATATATGGCAGGAAAAGTATCGAGTCCTTTAGGTTCCTCTGTGTATTTCTTAGGAAAGTTGTAGCCTGAACCCTTACACCGATGGATCCCTTGGGTGTCGAGTACTAGTGAGACATGTGTGGCATCTGACTTACGCTGGAATGTTACAATCCTGTAACAATGCATTTTATATATAACTTAAATCTTTCTTTAAGTAAAAACCTTCAGTTTACAGCTTCATGTTAATATAATGTATATCACACCTATGACCTTGGATATGAGTCATGGTCAGTTCTATTTACAAACTTTGTTGGAGCTCATCTCTGGTACCTATCAGTCAAACACTGTGACTCTACACAAGCTGCTTCCTTAGAAGAAGTAGCTTAAAAAACTTAGTGGGCAAGGTGAGTTAAAAAATACTGTGTAAGAAGGTGATTTGGAACATTACCATCTTGCGTCCAAGTTCTATTTCTAGGATCTTACTTGCTGACAAAATCGTCAGAGAGTCTGGCAGTCACTGTTTTCATCTCACTGGAGTGTACTTGTTTCTGGAGGAGGTCGTAGAAGTATAGACTAAACTGTAACAGATCATTCAACAATTGTGAATCAAATTTATCTCAAGTAAAAGAAAGTTGTTAAGTATACAATACTCATTCACAAAGTAATTACTGATAATTGTTTTTAAATCTTTAAAAAAGTTGGTCAGTACAGTACTAACTGTACTTGACAATCCAGTTGTGGAGTGAAATGTTACACTTACCTTAGACAACAGCACCTGTTTGTATTTGACAATCCAGTTGTAGAGTGCTGGCCAGGGGTTATGTTTACTGGAACCACCAAAGGCTGATTTCTTAACCTAGAAAGGAAAATGGCTGAAGACTGAGACAGCTTCATATTGGGTATATTTGTAATATCAAGAAATTATTTGTCAACAAGGAACGTCTATGAATGCATGTTGCATCAAACACAGTATTCGGTAAAGTCTAAATAGAAAAAATCAACATTTTTGTAAAGTGATGTTGACAATAACGCAACCGCTTCACTTTGAAATATACATCCTTGTTTTAATAGTTTGATGAGAAACTGTTATAAATAATTTTATCAAATCCAGTATCTGGTAAAATTTGAATATCAGAAAGATGACATTCTTTATTTAAGTAGAAGACCTTACATTAGTGTTAATGTAATTGGAAATTTGTTAAACAATTTAGGCGAGTGACCTATCAAATTATTTTATAAGTTTAATATGTTCCAAATTACATTGACAACAGTGTATGATTCTATTTATCATATGACCTGTCTGTCATAAAAATAGAAAATAAGAAGCCTAAGAGCCTTAATGGTCACCTGAGTCACAATGGTTCTTGTAACATGTCAGTCATCTGATTCACAGAGGTTCTTGTAACATGTCAATTTGACCCACTTTTTGCCCCATCAAACAGCCCCTGGGGGTCAGCTGAGGTCAATATGTGCATCTCATAAAACTGTCATCTTAAACATAAACTTAAATATATCCAGCTTTTACCTATTGAACAATATAAAATAAACAAATAATTTTCAAAAATTTGATTTTCCTATATAAAATATAGTAAATTGTACCCACTCCCCTAGGGATAATGCGATACCCTGTGGTCATGAAATTTACAATTTTGATAAAGCATCTGAAGGCCTTTCCATCCACAAAGAGTACTTGATTCTACCATACCTGGGATTTGAGAAGATGAGTTTTGAAGTTTCTATCAATTTGATTCTTTTTGTCCCTGCCCCTAAGGCCCCTTTCGGTGCACCTTTAAACATGGAAGATTTTTGTAAAAATTTCCTTTAAATTGGTTCAGGAGTTTTCCAAAAGAAGTAGAAAATGATAATGACGCCCAACACCAAGGGGATCATAACTCTTTATTTTGACTTATTTCAATGCCGACAATATGCTTTTCACTATTGAGACAATCATTTGACAACAAACGACAAGACACAAGTTGCCTTAAAATCTGTCAATGTTTAAATATAACCAAATGGTGAACTCAATACCAATATAGCTCTGATAATGATAAATTCTCGACTCTCACTGAGGAACTTTAAAATTCCTGAAGTCAGTCTTGGTGACATATTTTCATGTAACAATAGTGTTCTCCTTTTAATTATCCAATAGGATAATAATAACAACCATTAACTGTATTTTCATAGTGACAGAGGGTACCGCAAGATTTATTGCCACACCATTTAATATTTAACAGAAACATGTATTGTTCTTCATAAGCATGTGCAACTTGCTTACATTTGAAAACGACTTCAATTATTAAATACTGGTTTGCATTGAACACGAAATTATCAAATTTCATTTCAATTGATTAATATTATTAAAGTTCTTCTAACAAAGCTTAATAAGCTTACAGGAAAAAATCCTTGCACCTACGAAAAACTAAAAATTGTGTGTGTACCGCGCTACCCGAGTCGCCTGAATGACGGACCCGAGTACCAGGACACATGTATTAGCACAACCAAAACGTGCTTATACCCAACACGCCACCTATTGAAAAACATACCACGGAGAAATTAATTTCATCCTTATTCCCCAGTCAAACGGATGAAATTATATCGCCACACACATCATTACAAGATACCCAAGAGTAGTCTTAGAACTTTACATGTTTGGCATAAAAATAGGTCAGTGACCATCACATTACCTCCTTAATCTGATGAGCACTGGCCCCCCAGCTGGTCAATTTACTGTGAGCCTGATGTAGCTGAAGGAGAGATGGCAGGAACTGCAGCTCAGTCATCAACACCTGTGCCTGAAGCAGGTGTGACATAATTTCACACTCATAGCTGGAAAAGCAAATTAAACCAATCACATAACTATATATACACAGAGAAACTTTATTCCTAGTGTAAAGTTGAATACTGCACCACTAATAGCCTCAGGGAATGTCACCTTTCAAAGGTAGACAAACGCTTGTATTAACCTAAAAATGGTGATACTTGCTTTGTTTTATGATGCACCATTTCAGATTTCAATATGATAACTACAATTAAATGTAAAAATGAGTCTAGGTTATCAATTTGTAGTGATATAGCTGTCGCCTCCCATCATGGAAATCTCCATTTACTATTTTTAGTCCAGGTTATTCATTTGTAATGATAACCTCCCATCAGGGAAATTCCCAGTTACTATTTTTAGTCCAGGTTATTCATTTTCAATGATAACCTCCCATCAGGGAAATCCCCAGTTACTATTTTTAGTCCAGGTTATTCATTTGCAATGATAACCTCCCATCAGGGAAATCCCCAGTTACTGTTTTCAGTTCAGGTTATCAATTTGTGAAGATAACCTCCCATCAGGGAAATCCCCAGTTACTATTTTTAGTCTAGGTTATCAATATACAATGATATCCTCTTGTAAAGGAATTCACCAGTTTCAGGGTAACATTTCCTGTTGGAGATATTTCAGCCAATCACAGCAGAGTGATGTTCTTAGTCATATTATAATAATTTGTAATCAAAACTTAAAAAAATTAAATCATGAGATATTGTCATATTTATAAATCCTCTAAAGAAACTTCAAAGAGAAGGAGCCAACGTCAGGTATGAGTAAGTGGGTATTAAGTGGGTACTTCGCTGTGAGTATGGATACCAGAAGGTATGCAGGGCGATTAAACAAAAACTAAGAAGTATGTATGAAGAGGGTATTCCTGAAGAAGCCTCTGCGACAGAGGAGAAACTAGTCGACGAATAAAGTCAACACTCTCTTATTGGTAACGCGTGAGTATGTTGTGATTAATACCCTCTTCATACATATTTATAAATCCTTATACAGTGTACATGTTTACATGATGAAATAGAACAGACATACTGAGTATCGATAAAGTGATACACATCCCTACTGGCCGTGTAAGATATTACATTCTAATGATACATAAAGATGTTGATTTGGAAAAAATCATAATTACAATTAGCTTGTGACTGATTTTAATGGAAAAAATTGTTAGAAACCCACAAGGCGAGGATGGTGGGCTAAAAACGGTATAAATATGGTTAAGATTTACCAATAATGTTTTCGAAATCAAATAAAACAAATTTGTGCCTAGCATTTACATTTATGAGTTTATAGCTGTAAAATGAATATATAGTGATCATCATGAAACTCACAAGAATTTGGACTTGAGATGACTGAGAAGTGGATGGTGGAAGTTCCGACTGTTGGTCTGGACAATCCTTGATATGGCCACCATTAATTCAGAATAATTTATCACTTTGTACGTCCCCATTGAGCTCATCTGCTCATAACTAAACAAAGAGTCAAGGTTAACATAGCTAGAAAGCTTTCTTGGATATACACAGTAAAATACTCTCATGAATGAAACATCCACCTACAGACAGGGAGTAAGTTTTCAAGATTTTGAATTACTTTGGATTATCACTAATGATCTAAATTTTGAAATCACTATTTACTATAGTTTTTTTTTTTAATTTTCTTTGTCCAAACAATAAGACTTTAAATAAGTGCATGAATCACACCATGATTAAAGTTACTGAAAACTTTTAGCAGTATGTTCTGGAAGAAAAACTTTCAAAGCCATATACATATATAATTATAAATACAACATATGCACATACATGAACCCTAATTCTATATAGCTTTGATAGTGAAATAATTCAACAAAATAGGAACTGACACATAAAAAGTATTTCATATCTTGAAATAAATCAATTCCTCTCCAAGAGATATACTACACGATTTCCACACAAATCTTTTTTTTAATTTAGCAAGTAGGCCTATCAAAGTAATTAATGAAAACTTTAATATAATAGCTATAGTTATCAGGAAAAAGATACAACTCCATAGACTTCTGCCTGGCCAGGACAAAGTGACCAAGCTGACCACATAGGTGGGCGATCAGCTGTTCAAACTCTGCAGATGGGTGAGGAAGACCGAAATGAACAAGCTGATCTTGATTTCGCACATTTTCTTCCACTTTACGAAATTCCAGAGCTAGTGAGTGGTAAACACTCTTCAGAGTCTGAAAACAGTGATCAGCCATTCATCATACTAGTCACAATCACACATTGTAGGATGTCAGCACAGATAACAAATAAAACAGAATGTCAAATTCTCTAATACCAACATAGATGATGTTTTTCGTCTCCTTGACTCTGCCCATCGCCGTGCAGAGTGCAATCGACGTGTGGTGATTCTCAGGCGACGTGTCACTATCTAATAGTGATAATATGTATGTCTTATACCTAACTGGATACAATACCAATGATACATAACAATGACAATACTGGACCAGATCAGGGCTGATCTTCCAAAACTAGAAATTATTACATATGAATGGATTACATCAGGTCTGGTCTTCCAAAACTAGACAACAGGCCCATGGGCCTTAATGGTCATCTGACATAAAATACAAGATTTCAAATTTTGAACTTCTTTCACCTGGATTTAAGAATCAAGGCACTCAGCCACCACCTTGAAAGTGGGTTAAGGTTATTCATTTCAATAAACTTTGTAAACCTTCATCCCAGCATGCTACAGGCCAAATATCATCACCCTGGGTGTTCTGGTTATTCAGAGGATGTTTGAAGTAACAAACTTTGGTCTGTGCCATGTCATGATCATTTCACGCAAGTTTTGGCTCAATTGCACTGGTGGAAGTTGAGAAGAAGTCGAAAATGTGTTTTCAAAATGGTGGCCATCTTGGATTTCGGACCAATCCGAAATTAACAAACTTTGGTCAGGATCATGTCACGATCATTTCAGGTAAGTTTCAGCTTAATGAGACATGTAGAACTTGAGAAGAAGTTGAACAAGTTTATGACGGATGATGCCGAACAAAAGGCGATCGCAATAGGTCATCAGACCCTTTGGGTGAGATGACCTAAAAATGTTACATATGATTAGATTATATCAGGGTTGGTCTTCCAAAACTAGAAAATGTTACACACGATATGATCATTTCAGGGCCTGGCATCCAAAACCACACAGTCATGGGTGGTATTATCTGTCCTGAGTCACTCAAAAACATTAAAACTTTACAAAACACTCACATCTTTTGAACGAGTGAAGAATCCTTTGTGTTCCAGAAATGCTAGTGACATATAACCCTTCTCTGCAGTAGCAAACTGGGTGAGAGAGTACATAAATAGTCCCCAGGACGAAGCAAACGCAGCTTTATGGTTATCTTTCTCTTTATCCTGTGAAAATCAAAACAACACCCAGACAGATACAGTTATCTTTTCTGAATTTCATCAAAGTCAACAACATCAGATTGTAAACAATCAATGACATCAGATTGTAAACTATCAATGACATCAGATTGTATACACAAATAAATGACTTCTTCTAAATTAATGATTTCTGTCTGTAGAAACAAGTCAATGACATATGAAACTGTAACTTACATAAATAAATGACATTTGATTGAAAAGAAAATTCATTGACATCAAATTGTAAACACAAATCAACAGAGGGATCTAGGCACCCGCTATTGTTCTATCTTTACTTGTTCTCAAAGTGTTCGATCTTTTCCTTTTTTTGTTTCCTCTGTGTTTGCTCTTTTATTATATAAAATTTTAAAATCTTTTTTAAGAAATAGCAATAATAATCTTTCACTGCCATATCCAAGATTTTAAGCTTATCAGCTATCTTTGTTTTTCCCCATCAGTCCAAAAATCGAATAGGCACAACTAGGGACCAAGAGAAATCAGCATATGAAATTTGAAAGATCCATACAGCACTTCTCAAGGAAAAGTGGAAACAATTTTTCTTGTCAAAATCCAAGATGGTTGCCTGTCTGCCATGTTGTTTTTTTCCAGAGCAGTCTGAAAATTGGACAATGTACAACATGGACCAAGGGTCCCTAGATATATAATTTGAAAAAGATCCATCCAGTTTTTCGGTTGAAATAGCTGCCAAAATCTTACATGGCTGCCTGTTGGTCCAGTTATTTTCAGGTCAGTGTGAAAATATTACAATAGGGACCAAAGGGAAGCTATTGGTAGTATGTGAAATTTGAAAATGATCCATCTGATACTTCTCCAGAAAGAGTGATAACAAAATGCTACTGTCAAAATTCAAGAATACACAGCCGGATCAAGGGAACCAAAGGGAAGCTATTGGTCGTATGTGAAATTTGAAAATGATCCATCTGATACTTCTCCAGAAAGAGTGATAACAAAATGCTACTGTCAAAATTCAAGAATACACAGCCGGATCAAGGGTAACCTACATATGTAATTTAAAAAAAATCTATCTATTACTTCTCAAGAATTAGCGATAGCAAGTACCTATTGTTTAAGGACATGCACATGTGCATCGAAGAGTCATGAATGCAAGGATAGCCCTCCATCTGATGATGGTGACATAGAATGACATTAGTGTATTGTTAAGTTTGTGACTTGTAAATATCACTGTTGTTATCTTTGAATTTTTATTGAACTTCCTAACACTTTAATTGTATAGTATATTTTACATGAAAGATAATATCCAGACTGATGTGTTGACCAGAGCCAGCTCCCTCCTGTACACTAATGTAATTGTTTAGGTGATCATATTAAATGTACAAGAAAAAGTAAAGGCAACAAACATGTTAACGACACAATGCCTATCCATGATATCAAACAAGAATTAAACACATCAGTGACATCAAACACTTAATGACATGCAATGAACATGTCATGTAGGACATAATGTCATTATATGTACTTAAATAATTTAATTTAATCATACCACACACAGGGGTTTCCAATATTGTTAGGATTTCTAACCACAAAAATCATTCCTCTTACGTACAAGTGAACGTATACTCACCGCTAAATCACGAGCCTTTTCGTAAGAAAATTGACTAATGAGTTTAAAGAAGTTCTCAAGAAATGTTTCTTCTTTTGCCCCTAATGGGGACAGGGGTGACAGGTGCCCTAAAGTGGCCATATCCATGGTAGGTCACCACCCAAAACCCTGAAATCAAAGAAAGACAGCAAAAGCAGAAAATTTAATAATTCACTCATAACAACATTTTTCACCTGGGCAAATGTCAGTGTCAAAATAACCAATTAAATAATCCTAAGAAGCCCATGGACCATAATGGTCATAAACTTGACTTATCTAAATCAATCTTAAACTGCAAATACCCATAAAACTCTCCTGATCCCACTGTTGCAGTCCTTTAAAACCTTAATTATATAAGGCTGCATATAGAATTTCATCAAAATCTGTTCACATTTACTCAAGTTATAGTGTTCACAAGGCTCAATTTTACTAAAATGTGAAGGGCCATAACTCCGTAAATTACATCTGAATCAGTCCCATTGGCAAACTTATCTAAGATCTTATTGATAAAAAGGTTGCATATCAAGCTTTTTTAAAGTCTGGTTATATCAAGTCAAGATATTCACAAAACTGACATGGGCCATAATTCAGTAAATAATTTGGACTCAGTCCCATAATCAAATTTGTACCAAATCATTTCATCAAAATCTGTTCATATATAAATCTAATTAGATTAGGTTGTCTGTTTTTTTCAGAATCTGAGTGGCTCACAACTAGCTAAGTACTACACAAAAAGTGAGAACCATTGTACTGACCAGGCTGGTACCAGGATCTTGAATACCTTTTTTCCTATTTAGCAGATTGACAACCTTAATTTTACGTTCTTTGTTGTGTATATGACAGTCTTGTTTGGTAATCAATAGCTAAAATTAAACTCTTTCGGGAACACTTAGCTAACAATTAAAATGTAGATCCAAGGCATAAAAAACATAATATAAGTCCTACATACAGTAAATCAGATATTTTCGTTGGTCCCAATTTACATGATTTTTTAAAAAGAAATGTATCGCTTCGTAGATTGTTGATTCCATGCATCTATCTAGTCCCATAAACTTGCCTAAATTGAATTTTACAGTTTGTGGAAACAATAATTCTCAAGAACCGTAAACCTATCTACGTGTCTCTACATACAAAACAAAAGGAAAATGATGTTTACAAAAACATCTATTTAGTATAGATGATTCAACAAATCTTTTGTAACATTCAAACTATTTTTTATGAAATATTCATATATTCAAATGAAGCTTTAAAATTAATCATTTTACAATATAGTATATACTTACATTTTGATAATGTTTGATATGTGTTAAGCAAAAAGTGATTTAACAACCCATAGAATCCTAGAACATCTGGGGCTGAAGGTTTAAGAGATATCTTAGAAATAACTGCTGGCAAAGAGGTAAAGGTAGAGTGATTAAAAACACATTCTGTATACAGGTAAACAAACCATTTTGTCTTGATGATGATAGCTTGTCTAATTAAATATCATAGAATTTATGTCAAGCTAACAATTAATTTTATTTTACAGATTGATGTTTTGTTATCATGTTACTATACCAGGAAACAAAATTGATCAAAGTAAAACTTGTATAGTACAGATTAAGGTTGCCAGATTAACGGTCAAGGCCACCGTGTAAGAGGCAAAGTCAATCTTAAATGGTTTATATTGCAGAATGCAGTGCAAGCATATTGAAATAAAGTTTTTCATATTTTTCATCATATTGAAATAGTTTGTGGTTCATAAATGACACGTAAATACCTAAATACGAAGGTCAAAAGTGAAAATGGAAAGATCTCTCAGTTTTCTACATTCACACTTGATCACATATATCATAACACTTTTGAACCACAAAATCAGGAAATGATTTTTCGGGAAAACATTAAAATATCACAAAGGTTTATTTCAGTACTATTTGTTGTTATGGATCTGGTATAAATTTACAAGTTAGATTTCATGCAGTATCATTAATTGATATATTTGTTTTAATTATAGAACCTCCTGTCTATGAAAAATGCGATTTTGAGATTAGAAGCAAATGCTTTTTAAGCCAAACTACAGCGGATGAATTTGATTGGATTGTTAATTGAACTGTACGTAAGACCACAGTGTATAAAACAAAGGAATGGCAACAACTGATTAAAGAAATGGACAGCAAGAACATACAGATATCATTTAAAGTGAAACAATTAGGCCCTTTATAGATGATAGATTAGTAAAAATACTTAACATATACATTTTTGTACATACCCAAACTTTCACAGACATTTCCATCTAAACAGAGTAGACAGTCATCTAATGATTTAGGCACCAGTATGACTAGACAAAAGGGAGAAACACTGTCAGAGATGGGACATGCTGGAGTATTGGCACAGTGACTGAAACTTTGTTAATACTTAGTTGAATCATCAAAACGATTCTATGTATCATGTGACTGCACAAGTTCAATAACAATATGGTATTTGGCCAAAGTTTTATCATTGATCATGCACTGTACCTTAATTTCTGGTGCAGCGTCAGTAATCACAGCAAATGATTAGTTGAGTGGGTATAAATACTGTTTAATACAAAGTCTAGTAAGCCCTTCATTTAATGTATCCTTGCACTCAATTTCCAAGATCAATGTAAATATGAAGAAACACAATCCTCCATAACAGGATCCCGAATATTAGAGAATATTGTCGCTAACAATTCACAGCGACATATGTACATATAAAATGTATATATGTTAGATACATACAGAGGTACTATTTCTTCAGTGTCTGTGTGTAGATCTAGTTATTTCTCAATGCTCACTTTTCCCCACAAAGTGATGCAGTTTAGATTACTTAATCTCCTGTTGCCACAGGATAAGAATCTACATGTATTATAAGTCCGTATTATTGCCTAAAGGACTGATGTCATGAGGTAGGAGAAGGATGGGGGAACAGTCAGAATAGATAGGTCTGTAAACACTGTCCCCATGACCATGTATGGCCAATCCACAGGTCAAGGTATGTGTTATGATAGTCTTATAAGATGTAGTTAGTGATGAATACCTTTACATGTGTAGGGGCAAGTCGTAAGTACATTTGCATAATTACATACCTGAGGTTCGGTCAATTTCAAATACGTTTTCTTATCATTCTCCTTACTTTCGCTTTATGACAAATCTGTTCGGAACTCCTACGGGGCGAGGTATTCCGACTGTGTGCAAGCGTATGAGAGGGGGTTGAATTGGCGTACGCCGTTCCCGAATCTGGCCGCGATACCTGTACCAAGAAAGTGAAAAATAATTAATATCTCGCGAGAACAAAAATCTAATAAATCTTTTTTTTCACGTAATCCACTTAAACATTCCGGTACTGGGGGTTCTCGAGATATTAATATTCACCCACACCAAGCGTCTGGGCGATCGTGATCACGAGGTTTCGATTCGCTAATACCAGAGACATATATAACTGTGATATATACGTCTCTGCTAATACCATGTCCTACTGCAGTAACTTTATGAAAATACGTCAATATTTCTTTATATGTATATATATATAACATGATTTGAAATTAGCGGTCTTTACTGTGGTTTGTTTAGCGACAAGTAAAACGTATTGGGTTTAAACACTATTTTATGGTGTAACCCATGCTGTTGTCATCATCGGGCTCCAAATTGGTTATCTGGAGTAATTCTCTGTGGGGGCATTCCCAACTCAATTTTATATTTAAGCGTTCCTGTTATTTCCTTATATATCACATTTCGCAATAAGCAGTGTCGTGTGTCCATTAAGGAATGGTCGTTTTAGGTCACCTGGTGTCATGCTGGTGACCTATTGCGCTTGCCTTCATCCGGCGTCGTGCGTCCGTGAACAATTTAACATTTTCGACTTCTCAACCACCCCTGATCCGATTTCAATAAAATTTTGCAAAAACCTTCCCTGGCCTCAGATGAACCAAATTGTTAATTATTCAGTCACCACTCCACAGGGGCCTGATGGGCGGGGCCAAACGGGGTCAAATTGATTCGAATTTCAATTATCTTCACAACACCAATATATGGTATAATGCTTTACCAAATTTGTAAATTTCATGGCCCAAGGGCCTCGCATTTCCGCGTGGAGAATGAGCAAAATTTACTATAGTTTATACCGGAAAACTATTTTGAGCATAAATTGTTTAATTTCCATTTGAAATATTTCAAACTTAGTTACAATTATGAATGCAGGACGACGGCTTGGTGGTACGCCCATATTGATCCTGACTTACCATGAGCTACAAGGGCTGATGGCGTGGCCAAAAGGGGTCAAATTTACTTAAATTTCAACAATTTCTTCTCAACACCCGCGTTTGCTAGAATCAAAGGCTCTGTATGAATGGAAGCATATTCAGGTGCTTTTATTACCAAAATTGGTCTCACATTTCTTTCTTTAAAAAAAAAAAAACTGTACGGTAATTTTCATAGAAAAATTGCATTTTTGATTATAACGTTGGATATTTTCCACTGGAAATGACTTTGTAAGAATTATCAGCATAGAATGACATTTTTGATGGAATGCGACATTGACTCTGGCTTTCTGTATTCATTGTCACAATTTCTGGTTCATTGCACTTGATTACTACCTTTTTTTATTCACTATTGCTGATCTCGGGTGATTGTCAAGGCTCAATTAAAGCTACAAGTGTTCAAAGTCACTGGTGTGTGAATACAATCTGACCGGAACAAGTACCACCGAAAATCAGAAATACACGAAATGTGTATTACAATATTTGTATGGTGCTGTCACGGTCATAAATAATTGTGTGCTCTTCGCAAAAGTTGAGGGAACTGTTGAATTCTGCACCGAGGCGGGATTTGTGAAATTTTGTTCATATGGAAATATTTAAGAAGTCTAAGGTTTGTTTTCATTGTCAGAAAGACATTGCAAGAACTTTTTAAGCAATATATTATTTATGCCCATCGTCCTATAATATTTACAACAACGATATAAACAATCTTGTTTACGTCACGAACTGGTCCTTAGAAATGTATAGAATTTTATTGAATTATGGGGCTATTGCACGCTCCCGTCAAGATTTTGACTTTCCTTCCCATCACTTTGGTCGCCTCCTTGGCTTCAACGTTTAGGCCCTTAGCATCAATGACGAATTACCTGTACTATATTTAATTCTAAATTTGTGTTAAAAGATGCAATTCGTTTATGTTTCTTTTGTACAACCTAGCACACGTGTACCATTAAGTACATGTGTACATCGTATGCATTAAAAATCTTCATTTACATCAAAGTTCCTTTACATGTTTTATAACTTATAAACGTATTTAATGTTAACAGAGACCGTAAAAGAAATACATGTTATATGATGTATCATAAGGTTGGTACTTATTTGTCAACACAGACTTAGGGATCTGGAGGTCTGAAGTGCACGCTAGCAATCACGGCTAGCGGTGAATCCGAAAGATCATTGATTTTTATCTTTATTTATTTGTTCGAAAATCCACTGCTATATTTTAAATGAATTATAAAAGATAACAACAACTCGAATGAAGTTAGGTTTAGAGCAAATACAACGATAGTTAATTTTACCATGTGAAATTCAAGTTGACAACATCTAAAGATATAGTTTGGGAAACGTACATTGTATATGAGACAGAACATAATTGATGCGCCCTTTCAAATTTAACAGTGAAACCAAAACCAACGAAACATTAAAATAGTTCGCTGTAAATATGGCTAGGTCCAACTTATCAGAGTGATACTAGAGGGCTTTGTTTTGTTTGACCTTTACTGTGATTTGTCTTTGAATGTATTATTACGCTTGAGTCATTATTTATGCATTCATTGTTGACTAGTCAAAGCAAGTATCATCTGTTACTTTCTCAATGTGGAAGACCTGTAACTGACCAACGTTTGGTGATTTCATTTTACAAGCCACACATCTAGTTTGAAAGAATGAGCGTATTTGGATCGTGAGCTGACAAACTGTGAAGATTTAGGGATGGTGCGTTCAAGACTCATGATATATACTCAACAAAAAAAGAAAGGTTAACATGTTTCCTTGGCGAATACCTGTAAATGAGTGAAAACAAAATGACGTTTGTGCAATAATAGAAAATGGTTATGTTTTACATTACAAAATCCAAGGGGGTTACCAAAATCATTCAAGCGTGAAAGTCTGTATTAGCGAAAGAGCTGCACGAGGTTTTCTGCGACTAACTTGTATCTTCGCTTGAATTTCATAAATATTCAAATTGACAACTGTTCCTTAGATCCTTAGGACTTAGAATTCACCGAATCTTACTATCTATCAACTTTATCATTATGACCCGGCTGTCACAAGTACAGAGAGAAAGGACTGTAGGCATGATCCAGGCTGGGGAGTCTCGCCGTCGAGTTGCATGGCATTTTGGTTGCAGTGTTAAGACAATTTGCCAGTTGGTAAGTCGTTTAAACCAAACTGAGTCAACATCCGATCGTCCTCGAAGCGGCCGACCCCGTAAAACGACCGCCAGGGATGACCGTCGTATACGATTGATACACTTGCGCAATCGATTCGTAACCGCAGTAGAGACTACAAGGACATTGTTTGGGCGTCGTGTGTCTCCCCAAACAGTCCGCAACAGGTTGAGGGCCTAGCAATTGAAAGCGCGGCGTACCTACACTGGACCCAATTTGTTGCGACGTCACCGTAATAATCGGCGTAACTGGACCCGTGTTCACCGTCGTTGGGCCTTACGACAATGGAACAATGTTCTGTTTTCAGATGAGTCCAGGTTTTGTCTGCAAAACGGTGACGGAAAGCGCAGAGTGTGGAGGCGACGAGGGGAGGGTTTTGCGAACTGCTGCGTCGCAGAACGGGACCGCTTTGGCGGCGGAAGTGTAATGGTTTGGGGTGGTATTTGTCGGGGGACTCGTACCAGGCTTGTTGTGTTAAATGGCAATTTAACTGGCATTCGATATCGGGACGAAATTTTAAGACTAGTGGTTCTGCCTTTCTTAAGACGCCATTTTTCAACAGCATAACGCACCAGCGCACACCAGTCGCGTCAGCAGAACTTTCTTGCAGCAGAATAACGTACAGGTGTTAGATTGGCCATCTAAATCACCTGATTTGTCCCCAGCAGGCATTTTACGTCAAATTTACGTCGGATTTGGACTTAATCCTGACGTCAGGATTACGTCAAATAATGGTCAGAAATGAAAGTAATATTGACGTAAATGTCTGACATCTATATTATGTCAGTATTTTACGTCAGATTTTCGTCATTTATTAGTCAGAATTGGTCAGAATCTGACTTCAGATGCGTTACGTTGCGGATGCTTTGAAGAATTAAAAAGTAATATTAATAAAATAAATCAAAATATAGTTCCTCTTACAAATTTTATTTATAGCATAATTGCACAAAAAATTATATATGTATCATGACAATAATAAAAAAATTTACAAAAATGACAAGAGCGACAAAAGAAATTATTCATGACATGATCTTCATTGTTTAAATATAACAAAACTAGTCTTAAAGACAATAAAAAGAAGCTTCTGTATATATGAACTCTCGTGTGTAAATTTTCTATCAAAGTCATTATTTTAACACATGCACAATAGAAACAAAATATTCATTTTCTTTTCAAGATTTTACAATAAACAAGAATTGAGGAAAAAAACTGGTTAAAGAAATTATTGTAATGAAATATTGAAAACCTAATTTATAAATACATACACAAAAAGCAACCATGAAACATTCCAAATGCACAAATTACAAAATGTTTGAAACATAAAATGTTCATATTTATTCACTGTTAGAGTGAGCCCCTAACAAAATTAATGTATATTTTATTATAATACCAGTAACCCTTCTTAAAATTAAGATTTGAATACCATATTTCCCATGAAAAATTGACAATGTTTTTCCCAATACATGAATGTCACAATATGTTACAAGAAGGCCTTCAAATTATTAAATACAAATAAGAGGAGATAATAAAAGAGGAAGTTTTCCATGAAACTTTATGCCTGAAAATAGGTTTGCAATATTAAATATTGATTGTTGGTACAGAGATTCATGTAAATAAATGTTGATAACATTATTTACTGGTGTCTTCCTCCTCCTCCACTTCTCCTGTCGGGCACATGTTTTAATGTGTACCCGATCACTGCTTACAGGTCAGCATCTCTGCAGTCTGTACACCTTTGTGTGCTTTCTGAAAGGATCAATGCA